ATATTACATATCTACCATTCACCACCAATAGTCTGGTTGTTTTAATAAGATATTACATATCTACCATTCACCACCAATAGTCTGGTTGTTTTAATAAGAGATTACATATCTACCATTCACCACCAATAGTCTGGTTGTTTTAATAAGAGATTACATATCTAACATTCACCACCAATAGTCTGGTTGTTTTAAGAAAATAACAATGCAGTTTAGGAATAAGGCAGAAGTCAGAAACTATAGTTCGTTTCTCCTATTTAGGCCACATAATCTTTCTCTTCGGATATAACTGACTGAGAGTTCGAGCAAGTTCGTCTACTGCAGCTGCCACATATGCATGTAGAATGGAGCCTGTAATGTTGTCAAGTGTATCTTGAACCACAACAACACCAGTACTAGATTTGCAGTTACATTATATCAAGAACAGCAGTTTGGGTGGTTCTGGAAGGAGTGAAGCATTTACATTTGTCAAGTGGCGCAGAATAACTTGCATTTGCACTGCTGTTATTCCTGTGGAAACAATAACGCGCATGCTCATAGATCAACTGACGTTGAAACGTTTTTGAGCAAAATACCTAAGTGGTTTAGAATTGAAATAAATATGAAGAACATAATTAATGTTTTATTTGTTTCCGCAAAAGGTGCATGAGAAGTAAAAATTGTCTGGTCTGTCAATACCGGATCTACTTCTTGCTGTTTCCGATAAATTCCGTCAAGACGGAGAAATTGATATTTTATGCCAAGGTTTTGCTAAAGCTTTTACACTTTGAAAATCGTAAATATTCCCAAACTTTAGTTATTTTTCACGACTTTCACAGTCAATGGTCTATGTAATCATCGAAGTCGAGTAGGGGATTTTTGTACCACCAAATATTTGTACCTCAAAAAACAACTTTTTCCTGTTCTGAGTTTAGTATGTCCTAATAAATATAGAAAATTTTCTCTTGCGTTTTTTTTTCCTATTTAGTTGGTACTTTAATTGTTTCTGCTAGACTGTAAGCTTTAGATATTTCTAATTACAAGACCTAAAATTAGAACGTGAATATGATGAATGTATTTGATATAATCTTGTATAGGGGTGAATCCAATTGTTATACATAAAGAAGTTAAATTGGGGTCGTGACAGAACAAGACGTAAATAAGATAACTTTTTGTGAGACTCACGACTGGATGTGTTACCTGGAACGTCTGGTTAATTTGTTTTTTCTCTACCTGAATTACCTTTTGACATTCATATCCATTATTTTGTCATTTCTACATTTTTGTGTGTCTATATACTATATCATAGACTTACTATATTGTGTAGTTCCATCACTGGTTTGAATAAGTATAGGGCGATTATCTTCTCGTCGCCAGGTGACTTTTGGGGTCGGATATCCTTTCGCCAAGCAAGAAAAAGTGACGTTGGATCCTTCTCGTACTAGTTCATCAGCAATAGAACTTTTCAGGCTTATTTCAGGAGGAACTGAAAAGTTCAAATTCAGACATCAATTTTTTTTTGTAATATATAGTTGGAAAATTAAATACACTTGGAATAATAAAGTACTTTTGCATTTAGATGGCAAAGTTAGAAACAGCCATCAGTTATAGATATTTTCATTAGAGTGCACAGATACAAAAGATTTTACCTCAGATTTTAAATGTAGTCCTTTTAATTAAAATAGTAGCAAACAGGTGAGATTAACTTAAATGTTACCCATTGGTAAAATACTTATAATTCGTATTTTTAGGCTTTATAATTTAATAATAATTTTAGAATGCTTATGTGTTTTTTCAATCTAGTAAAATATGAGTCAAATATATTTGCAGTTTATCTAGTATTTCTACAACTATTCAAAGCAATTCTGAGGTGAGAATACCAGTCTGGATAGAGCTGATGAAAAAACTAACAAATTTGTGGTTTATTTGTATTTTTGTGGACAGTTGTTAATGCTCAGTGTTAACGTTTTGTTCAGCGTCACAAACCAGGAGGTACTGAAAATTACGTTTGTTTGGTCCACTGTACCGTAAGCCAGAAAGTACTGAAAATTGCGTTTGTTTGGTCCTCTGTACCGTAAGCCAGGAGGTACTGAAAATTACGTTTGTTTGGTCCTCTGTACCGTAAGCCAGGAAGTACTGAAAATTGCGTTTGTTTGATCCTCTGTACCGTAAGCCAGGAGGTACTGAAAATTACGTTTGTTTGGTCCTCTGAACCGTAAGCCAGGAGGTACTGAAAATTACGTTTGTTTGGTCCTCTGTACAATCCACTAGTAACTGTCAGGTGGATCAAGGTATATTATAAACCTTACATTGTGCTTGTACTAATAACTTTATTACAAATGATGGTGGTAGAATGAACAGTCTTACACAACACATCCAGATGTCCAACTTGGCTCATCATGGGTACCGTGTTCAGCTGGCACATGTAACTACCTACGTCCGATTTCTGAACGTTCTTAAGATGCAAAACAAAATTCTTGTTGTCTGAGTGGCTCAAACTTATCCGGTAGTTTCGGGTAATGAGATTTTGATGAATTGATAGTATTGCCTTTGACTCTATCTTCAACCAAGCAGCCTGAAACGTAGAAATAAAGATTTACACATAGCACCTTAAAATTTTCTATAGCTGTAATAAGAGGGCACGAATTTCTTGGCACTTAATGCTGACTCACAATAAAAATAAATTAACATAATTTTAAAACTTAGTAAAATTAATCAATATAATCTTACAACTTAGTTACTGTTATTTGCTATCTCTTGGCGTTTGAATGGGTAGCGACACTGCTTGATAAATGTTTAATTCTTGTTGGTCCGTAGATGGTGTCCGGGTGCCAATATGAGCTCAAAGTCATATATAATTTGTAGTAACCTGAAATGATTTAACAATACACCAAACGTCTGGCCCTAGTAACAAAAGTTTAAACTGTACACACACACACACACATACACATACATGGGTCCCATATTACGGGAAATTAGAATTTTGTCTTTATTTGGCTCTAGTAACGAAATTTTAAACTGTCTTTATATACGCACACACGTATTAATAGCTTCGTGATATAAAGTGATCAGTGATTACTTTGCCTGTAAAAAATGTGGATTTACAAGGGCTCAAATTCTTTGAAGATTTTTTAATGCACAGTGAAATGTAGTAGCAACGATGTCACTTGTTTCGGCTTTAAAGTATCAAATAGTTATGAATTTTTTTAAAATAAGTTTTCATCAAAATTACCTTGGGAAGTTTACAGTAGTACTGATTAAAATATGTTGTTGTTTTTTTTTTTATAAAGGACTGTACGTAAGTTTTCAAAGTTCTCTTTTAATATGATATGAAATTCAATAAATACAGAGCAATCCTAAAGTCGCGTTACAAACAAATATTTTCTGAGTCCTGCCTTTACAGCTGTTCGAAATGCACACCACTGATATCACGATACAGTGTCACTTTTTCACTCAGGCTGTAGCTCACCTCCATACATTCTTGCAAGATTAATGATATCGCAACCAATTATTGTAACAAAAGAGCTAGACACCGTTAGTGAAACACAAACATGACTTAGAAAAATCATCGTAAGAGCAGAACTTAGAAATGTTATTGTGTTGGTGACTTAATACTGTATACTGCATGAATTCTGATCCAAGTAAACTTTTTCTTTTGAAATTCTAAAGTATGGATATTAAAAGTGATGCAGCAAATTTTGACAGCTAGAAGGATATTAGTCAAAGGCTAAATTTATTTCAATAGACTTCACAAACCAGTTTCCGAAAAAGTCGTGGCTTTATGATCAATACATTCTAGTAAAAATGGCTCACTTGTAATTTTTTTTCTGAC